TGTTCTATCAGTCACAGCAAAAATGATAGTATTGCTAACTAGGAATATGGACTTACCTATTTCTTCCTGTATTTCTGTACTTTTTTGCTTCATGTATTCCAATATTTTTAGGCACATACACATTTTTGATTGTTTTGCTCTCGTGAATTAACCATTTTATGATTATAAAATATTTCCTTACAAGTTTATACTACTTGTCTGATGTTAATATAGCCATGTTATTTTAAACAATTGACCATTTCCATGTGATAAAAGAAGTCTTAACAAATTCCAAAGAATCAACATCCTCATACCCTTCTCCCTAAAATAAAGGCCAAAATAAAATAAAGTAATAAGAGGGCTAGCAGCACACCTTATCTGCCATTTCAAAAAGCTGATGACCTACTTTCTTAAAATATTTTCATGAAATTTCAATGTTAGCATTATACATTGAAATTAATGGGATACTGCTAAAGCAGGGGTATTTTAATTTTAAAATATCCACCAGCAAACCAGAAATAAAGTAAAAGCAGTAGGTATTACAGTCTAGAAGACAGAAAAGAACATGTACCCAAAGACCTTAAAGGAGAGAATAATTAAAGCATATATTAATATAAAAAGTTAAAAAATCCATGTGTATAGTGGATTTATAAATTTTTAGTTCTGTTTTTTAAGAAAATACATTAAATACACCAAACTCTGGCTAGACTCATGAAGAGAAAGTACAAATTAAGGTTATTTGGACAAAAAAAATTTAAATATCAGACATAGAAGAAAATAAATCCATAAGAATACATTGAAGAATTGTGCAAAGAAATATAAAAACAGTAATGAGACAAAATATTTTTGATCAAATATAAAATACTCATATTGACTTAGGCAGAAACAGAAAACCTAAAGTTATTAATTACTATTATTGAAGTATATTCAGTCAAACCCCAAGCGTCTGTCAATTTGTCATACTGTGGTGGCTTGCTTGTTGCTGTAATGCTGGAAGCTATGCCACTGGTATTCAAAATACCAGCAGGGTCAGCCATGGTGGGCACGTTTCAGCTGAGCTTCCAGACTAAGACAGATTAGAAAAAAAGACCTGGTGGTCTACTTCTGAAAAAATTAGCCAATGAAAACCTTATGAACAGAAGATTGTCTGATATTAGTGCCAGAAGATGAGCCCCTCAGGTTGGAAGACACTCAAAATACGACTGTGGAAGAGCTGCCTCCTCAGAGTGAAGGCGATCTTAATGATGTGGATAGAGTAAAGTTTTTGTGACCTTCATTTGCTGATGTGGCATGACTGAAAATGAGAAGAAACAGCCGCAAATATCCATTAATAATAAGAATGTGGAATGTATGAACTATGAATCTAGGAAAGCTGGCAGTCATCAAAAATGAAATGAAACACATAAACATCAATATCCTAGGCATTAGTGAGCTAAAATGGACTGGTATTGTCCATTTTGAATCAAACAATCATATGGTCTGCTATGCTGGGAATAACAAATTGAAGAATGGTGTCATGTTCGTTGTCTAAAAGAACATTTCAAGATCTATCCTGAAACACAACACTGTCAGTGATAGGATAATATCCATTCGCCTGCAAGGAAGACCAGTTAATATGGCTATTATTCAAATTTATGAACCAACCATTAAGGCCAAACGTGAATAAATTGAAGATTTTTAACAATTTCTGCAGTCTGAAATTGATCAGACATGCAGTCAAGATGCAATGATAATTACTGGTGATAGGACTGTGAAAGTTGGAAACAAAGAAGAAGTACTGGTAGTTGGAAAATATGGCTTTGGTGAAAGAAACAATGCCTGAAATCACATGATAGAATTTTGCAAAACCAACAAATTCTTCATTGCAAATACCTTTTTCCAATAACATAAATGGTGACTATACATGTGGACCTTGCTGAATGAAATACACAGGAATCAAACTGACTACACCTGTGGAAAGAGATGATGGAACAGCTCAAGATCATCGGTCAGAACAAGGCCAGGGACCGACTGTGGAAAAGACCATCAATTGCTCCTATGCAAGTTCAAGTTAAATTTGAATTGGAACAAGTCCACAACAGCCAAAGCATGACCTTGAGTGTATTCCACCTGAATTTAGAGACCATCTCAAAAATGTATTTGATGCATTGAACATTAATAACCAAAGACCAGATGAGTTGTGGAAGGACATCATACATGAAGAAAGTAAGAGGTCATTAAAAAGACAGGAAAAAAGAAAGGAGTGAAATAGATGTCAGAAGAGACTCTGAAATTTCCTCTTGAACATCAAGGAGCTAAAGTGAAAGAAAGAAATGATTAAGTAAACAAGCTAAACAGAAGATTTCAAATGGTGGCTTGAAAAGACAGAGTAAAGTATTGTAATGACATGTGTAAAGGCCTGGAGTTAGAAAACCAAAAGGGAAGAACACACTTGACATTTCTCAAGCTGAAAGAACTGAAAAAAAATTCAGTCCTTGAATTGCAATGTTGAAGGATTCTATGGGCAAAATACTGAATGATGCAAGCAACATCAAAAGAAGATGGAATACACAGAGTCATTGTACCAAAAAGAATTGGTCTATGTTGAATCATTTCAGAAGGTAGCATATAATCAAGAACCAATGGTACTGAAGGAAGAAGTCCAAACTGCTCTGAAGACACTGGCAGGAATTGATCGAATACCAATTGTGACGTTTCGACAAACGAATTCAGCACTGGAAGTGCTCATGGGTCTATGCCAAGAAATTTGGAAGAGAGCTATCTGTCCAACCAACTGGAAGAGATCCATATTTATGCCCATTCCAAAGAAAAGGTGATCCAACAGAAGGTGGAAATTATTGAACAATATCATTAATATTACACACAAGTAAAAATTTCCTGAAGATTATTCTTAAGCAGTTGCAGCAGTACATTGACAGGGAACTGCCAGAAATTCAAGCTCGATTCAGAAGAGGACATGGAAGCAGGGATATTATTGCTGATGTCAGATGAATCCTGGCTGAAAGCAGAGGATACCAGAAAGATGTTTACCTGTGTTTTATTGACTATGTAAAGGCACTCAACTGTGTAGATCATAACAAATTATGGATAATATTGCAAAGAATAGGAATTCCAGAGCACTTAATTGTGCTTATGATAAACCTGTTCATATACTAAGAGGCAGTCGTTGAAGCAGAACAAAGGGATGCTGAGTGCCTTAAAGTCAGGAAAGGTGTGCGTCAGGGTTGTATCCTATCACCATACTTACTCAATCTGTATGCTGAGCAAATAATCCAAGAAGCTGGACTATATGAAGAAGAACAGGGCATCAGGAAGACTCAACAACCTGTAAAATGCAGATGACACAACCTTGCTCGCTGCAAGTGAAGAGGACTTGAAGCACTTACTGATAAGATAAAGACTACAACCTTCAGTATGGATTACACCTCAACATAAAGATGACAAAAATCCTGACAACTGGACCAGTAGCAACATCATGATAAACAGAGAAAAGACTGAAGTTGTAAAGGATTTCATTTTACTAGGATCCATAATCAGCACCCATGGAAGCAGCATCAAGAAATCAAATGATTTCTTGGGCAAATCTGCAAAAGACCTCTATAAAATGTTTAAAAGCAAAGATGTCACTTAAGGACTAAGGTGCACCTGACATAAGCCATGGTGTTTTCAATTTCCTCATATGCATGCAAAAGCTGGACAACAGATAAGGAAGGTCAAAGAATTGACGCCTTTGAATTATGGTATTGGTGAAGAATAATGAATATACCATGGACTGCAAAAGAACAAACAAGTCTTTCTTGGAAGAAGTACATCCAGAATGCTCCTTATAAGTGAGGATGGCGAGAGTTTGTCTCACAGACTTTTGACATGTTATCAGGAGGGACCAGTCCCTGGAGAAGGACATTATGCTTGGTACAGTATAGGGTCAGTGAAAAAGAGGAAGACTCTCAACGAGAGGGCTTCAACAATGGGCTCAAGCATAATGATTATGAGGATGGAGCAGGACTGGGCAGTGCTTCATTCTGTTGTACATAGAGTCATTATGAGTCAGAACAGACTGAATGGCACCTAACAACAACAATTCAGTCAAGTGTCTCCCTGGATGGATTATAAAGTGTTGGACAACTGAAAGGATTCACAAGACTTCCCAAAGTACAGTCACATGAGACTTAACAAAGGTAAAGCACAAAGCACAAGAGGGAAAAGCAAAATTTGGGAGTCAGAGAGTGATCCAAAACTCTCAGGTACAGCCATCCAGAGTCTGCCCTCAGTCAGAGAGGACATGCTTCATCTTCAGACTCTAAACCCACAAGATATATCTGATGTATCTCAGTTTCAGGGGAGCTCATACAGAGGCTATAGAGGGGTAGTTTATACCTTGTTGTTCATGTAACTAAAGCCAGGCTGTAAAATTTGTTAAACTGGGTGCATATCATTAATCTGTATGCCTCTAAATAGTGTAAACAAGCTATAAACCGTACCACCAGGTGAGTTTTGCTTTTTAAATGGCACACTATAAATCACTAGTGAACATATTTAATTCTGAATCTTAGCCAAGAGTCAGTACCAGATGAATGGAGTGTTAATTAATTCTTCCTCTGGTTTATCAGCTTCCACTGGTAGAATATCTCGTGAGGGTTTTAGTTCAATGTCAATGCATTTGATCATGAATATCTGTAAAAAAGACCCTGGTAATACCTGTTATCAAGAGTGTGTAAACCAGTTAAAACATCATAATGGTTAGATATAATTAAATTTTTACATAAATTTTACAAGATTGGTCACATAAAAAATAAAAGGAAGAAGCTAGAAGCTAAACTATAGGCATATAAACCAAAAGTAAGAAAATTAAGGGTTATAAAGCTACAAAGAGTACTATATATATAAATACAGAGCATAATGATTATTATATGACCATTTATGGTACATTGGTACTGAATATTCTATGTATTAAAATTATCCTTTTTATATTTTTAATTTATGATTTTTTAATGAAGCAATCTAATTTTAATATTTTTTAGAAGAAAAAAAACAGTTATGCCCACCTCCACCTCACATTCCCAATACTCGAGATATGACAACGACAGTGAATTATCAGGATGGAGAAAAAATATCTATTCTCTGTCAAGAAAATTACCTCATTCAAGAAGCCGATGAAATTGTGTGCAAAGATGGAAGATGGCAGTCAATACCTCGCTGTGTTGGTTAGTACTTCATAACTTGCTTTAGAACATTCTTTCAAAATGAGGTTAATACTATACTGTGCTTTGTGTAATTGAACAAGATGAAGACCACTCTCTATATTTATTCCTCTTTAACTAAAACAGTAAATTACAATTCATGCCCAAATTAATCAGCATTCATTCACTTATACAGTGAAATAAATACAGACAAAAGACTTAGGGATATTATTTAAATACTAGATAAAGTTTTTGTCATTATTTCATTCCTCATGATGAACAGGAGAAGAATGAAGGGGAATATTTAACAAGAGGATAGTGGCATAGATATTGTGGCAATATATATCCTTGCAAGTTCCAGGTATTTGTTCAGTTTTTAAACAATATTATTTATTTAAATTACCTTTATTTTATTATTCCAAATAGTATTTTATTTTATTTTTTTAATTTAATCGTATTTGTGCTTGACCCTTTGATCTCTGTTATTCATATAGGAAACATTCCATGTTCTCCACCACCTCATATTAAACATGGAATAATTAACTTATCTAGATTTTCAGAAGTAAGGAAAGCAACATCCAAACCTAGACTCTATTCACATGGTAGAAAATTAACTTGTATTTGTGAAGATGGTTTCAGCCTATCTGAAGAAGATAACATGCCACATGGGAAAATGGAGTTCTCCACCTCAGTGTGTAGGTGAGGGCATATAAACAAGACAAATTTATTTTCAGAATAATTTATTAAAAATAATCAGTTGTCATCAAAGTCATAAGGCAATATAATTTATATATGTATATATAATTGTTTATATATCTTACCATCAAAATAATTTTCCATGGTCAAATCAATCTTATTTTTGTTAATTTCATAGGTTCTTTATAGAATCACTTCAAAGTCTGCCATTTATTTTGTTTTAAAATGTTATGTGTAGTATAATTAAACCTAAGTTATAGCCTTGCCAACTTTTTTTTTTTTTAATGTTTTTCCTACAATGTTCCTTCTGACTTCTTAGAACATAATGGTGTGTTTCTTAGGATCATTCATTCTCAGTGTGTTTCCTTTTGACACTCGGGCCTGGTAAGAGAAGCACTGGTTATATCGTTCATAAATGCATTGACATTTTAAGCCTCAAGTTCTTGCTTAGGTTGTGACAGACAGCAGAAGGGTGGATTTAGAAAGTGTTTGTGCACCTCTTTGTGGTGTGATAGTAACTCCCGTGTTTTCACTTCTTTTCAAATAAAACTAATAAATGGGACACCCGGTACATAAAATTAAATTTCAGAATAAGTGAAACACGAATGCATTCTTTCATGTTTTTTAAGGACTGCTTTGTGAGCCACCACCTTTGATTCCTCACGGTGTTCTATCTCATGAGTTAGACAGCTACTAACGTGGAGAAATCACATACAACTGTACTGATGGTTTTGGCATTGATGGTCCTGAGTCTATGAAATCGTTAGGAGGAAAATGGCCTCCCCCACCAGAATGCAAAAGTATATATTAATTGTATTCCATGGATGATAAATATCTTTTATTCAAAGCATAAATGGAACAAATAAGCAACTAAGCAGTAATTGTAAAATTTAACAATTTATCTCTGGAAAATCCTGGATTCTGACAGAGAACTATAGCTTTAGTAATAAGTAAAGTTTGGCAACATGGCCGAAATTATTTCCTTTTCAAATCTTCCTGTGTGTACTTTTGACATCTCCTGACCTTTATTTTCAGATTTCTTGTCTTTGTTCCTGAAGCCCAGCTGACCCCTACTTATCAATCTAATTATCATTCGCTCTGCTATCAGCTTATCAATTATCTTCTTATAAATATATAATTTTCTAAAATATTTGAAATAATTATTCAGAAATTAGATTTTGACAGAAGACTAAAGAAAAAAATAGACATATATACATGATATAAGTGACTAGTATGGGGCAAGAATACATTTGAATGCAAGAAGGAAGTATGACCCCAACCATTACATCTATCCATATCTCTTCAAGCTCCACTACTACCATTCCCGCCTTATGCCTTTGAAAAATGTAGAACAATTAAATGTAATTACATCAAGACTGTATAAAAACTTATTTTGTCAAGTTGTATGAAAAATATTGTACAGTATTCATTGGTTTGACATGTAGGTAATTATTATTTTGGAATATAATTATTGAAATATATATATACTAAAGATGTACTAAACAGATGCATATTCCTTTTCTTTCAGATACAGATTGTCTGAAATTACCCACATTTGCTAATGCAGTACTCAAAGACCTGGAAAAAGAATCATATAGGTCAGGAGAACAAGTAGAGTATGAAAAAAATTTCCAATTAGATGAGTCAAATACTGTAGAGTGTATCAAGGGCAAATGGATAGGTAGCCCAACATGCAAAGGTACCTTGATCAAATTTTTAAATTTATTTATAAAAATATTTTAGGCAATAAAATATAGAATTATTTGTCTCTAAAAAAATAAATAGTGAAATCTGTTGCCTTCAAGTCGATTCCTACAGGACGGAGTAGAACTGCCCCAGATGGCCCACATTTTGGTTAGCAGCCGCGCTGTTAACCATTGTGTCACCAGGGTTCATTCGTCTCTAGCACCTTTAAAAAATAGACATAGGTTAAGGAATAGTATTGTATATCTAATGGTTAATCTTATAGCCCAGTGGTTCTCAAAGAGTGGTCCCTGAAATAGCAGCATCAGTATTTTCTGGAAAATTGATAGACATACGAATTCATGGGTTCACCTCAGACCTACTGAATCAGAAACTATCCGAGATGAACCCTGAAACTGTTTTAACAAGCCCTACAAAAGATTATAAGAATCCCTGGCGGCGCAGTGCTGTAGCACTCAGCTGCTAACCAAATGGTGGGTAGTTGTAACTCACCAGCTGCTCCGCAGAAGCAAGATGTGGCAGTCTGCTTCTGTGAAGATTACCGCCTTGGAAACCCTATGAGGCCATTCTACTCTGTCCTATAGTGTCACTATGAGTCGCGATTGTGGCAACGGGTATTTTTTTTTTTTTTCAATTTTTTTTGGTACAGGAGACTATATGCACACTTTAGGGTAGGAACCAAGGGTATAGCGTACTATTGCTTCATGTACACCTGAAACTCTCTGAAGAATTATACATTGTGCATTATTTTATCTTTAAGCATTTGCCCAAAAAAATCAATAGAGTTGTTTTTATCAATTATAGATTTATTTTTCTATTCTTTTCTTGCATCTCCTGTTGGAATACTTTCTTTTAATCATCTTCCTCTTTAGTTATGGTATTCTTCAAAGTATTCTCTTAATTCTTGACTTACTCTTTAAGGAGGTGCATACATGTATTATGTTTCTAAGGGGCTAAAATTGTGATAAATAAGCAGAATAACTGCAAATAAAAATCTGATGTCACATAATCTTTTTATTATGATTCTTTACAGTTTCAAAATTCATATTGAGTTTATAATATATGATATTTAGTTTACTAAATTCCAAGATAGTCTAGGACATCTCTCATTTTCACTGGTTTCTGAAAGGAAAGAAAAATTTCTGTCTTCTGGGGCAGATAGATGAGAGATGTAAGGATGTTGAAACTTAAATATTATAGCATCTGTCTTTTTACCTATTTTCCATGTAAATTTTTTTATATTAGCAAACTTTAGAATGATAGGTTATCTACTGATTTTAAAATATATATTTTATTTGAAATTTATTTTAAATATATTTGAAATCTCATTCATTGATTTGTTACTCAAAATGAACCCTATCATGGATTGAATTGTGTCCCCCAAAAGTATCTGTCAACTTGGCTGGGTCAGGATTCCCAGCACTGTATGACTGTGTACCACTTCATAAATCTGATGTGATTTCGTTATGTGTTGTAATCTCTATCACTATGATGAGGTTATATGTGATTTCCTTATGTGTTGTAAACTCTGTCACTATGATGAGGTTATACTTATGAGGTTTATAAGATTAGATAGTGTCTTAATCCAATCTCTCTTGAGATGTAAAAGAGAGAAGCAAGCAGAGACACATGGGAACCTCACACCACCAGTGAGCAGTGCCGGGAGCAGAGTGTGTCCTTTGGACCTGAGGTTCCTGCGCTGAGATGCTCCCAGACCAAGGGAAGACTGATGCAACACAAGGACTTTCCTCCAGAGTCAACAGAGATAGAAAGCCTTCTCTTGGAGCTGATGCCCTGAATTTGGACTTGTAGTCTACTGGACTATCAGAGAATAAATTTCTCTTTGTTGAAACCATCTGCTTGTGGTATTTCTGTTACAGCAGCACTAGATGACTAAGACAGAATTTGGTGTCAGAAGTGGGATGCTGCTCTAACAGATACCTAAAATGTGGAAGCGGTTTTGAAATTGTGAATGGATAGAGGTATAGCAGCGGCAGAGAACCAGCAGCAGCAGAACCAGGAGACCAGCGTGAGATGGTGCTATAGCCAACCCACGGAACGAGAGAGCTGAGTGCCTGTGTGCAGGAGGCTTCCTGGCGGAGTGGGGTGCCTCTGGGCACTTACTGGTGGAGCTACAGAGCTTTGGAACACTTGCCCTAGCAGGGCAGATGGGGGCTTGAGGCCCAAGGGCCACGAGTCCACAGGAAGCAGAAGCTGAAGAGACAAGGAACACAAGAAGTTGACCTGCCTCAGTCTCAGAAGGTATGGCCAGGAACTCTGGGGTTTCAAAGGGCAGAGCCATGGCCTCTGGTGTTTCTAAGGGTGGAGTTGTCACTCCAATGGACTAGGAAAATAGTGCACCTAAAGCCAAGGGATCAGAGTTGCCATCCCAGTGGGCCTGGAAAGCGGAGCTGAAACCCAGGGCCAAGGGGCCTCCACTCAGAATCCGGAGACTGTGGCCAATATCTACAACATGGAGGGCAAGGCTATTGTGTAAATGGTCTCAGAGAACAGAAGATTATTTTCAAAGCCTTGAGGGCTGATGTAATGTGTTCTGCTGACTTGCTTGGTGCCTGTTATCCCTTCTTCTCCTCCAGTTTCTCCCATTTGTAATGGAAATGTCTAGCTTGTGCCTCTTCTGCCATTGTACCTTTGGAAGCAGATAACTTGTATTCTAGATATCATAGATGAAGAGAAATTTTTGGATTTTAGACTTGGAGTTAAGACTTTTGCTGTGATATGATGAGATGAATATGTTTTGCATGTTGCAAGGACCTGAATTTTTGGGGGCCAAAGGGTGGAATGTCATGGATTGAATTGTGTCCCCCAAAAATATCTGTCAACCTTGGCTGGATCAGGATTCCCAGTATTATATGATTGTGTATCATTTCATAAATCTGATGTGATTTCATTATGTGTTGTAATCTCTATCACTGTGATGAGGTTATATGTGACGTCCTTATGTGTTGTAAACTCTATCACTATGATGAGGTTGTACCAATGAGGTTTACAAGACTAGATATTGTCTTAATCCAATCTCTCTTGAGAAATAAAAGAGAGAAGCAAGCAGAGACACATGGGAACCTCACACCACCAAGAAAGCAGTGCCAGGAGCACAGCGTGTCCTTTGGACCTGAGGTTCCTGCGCTGAGATGCTCCCAGACCAAGGGAAGACTGATGCATCATGAGGACTTTCCTCCAGAACCGACAGAGAGAGAAAGCCTTCTCCTGGAGCTGATGCCCTGAATTTGGACTTGTAGCCTACTGGACTATGAGAGAATAAATTTCTATTTGTTGAAGCCATCCACTTGTGGTATTTCTGTTACAGCAGCACGAGATGACTAAGACAAACCCTAATGGAGAGAATATTTTTCTTTCTATTCAAATATTTCCTGTGGGAATCCACCTGAAGTGAAAAATGCTAATATTATCTCAAAACAGATGACTAGGTATCCACCTGGAGAGAGAGTACTTTTTGAATGTAACAAACCTTATTCCCTGTATGGAGAGGTAGAAGCGATGTGTCTGAGTGGAACCTGGACAGAAGCACCTCAGTGCAAAAGTAGAATATCTTATTTCCTAAAAATTTGTAGAGAGACAGTAGAGATAACATATATTGATATAAACATATGTATAGTAATGTTTGTGGAATATATTAGTCCAAATACAAATAAAATTATAATGCTTAAAATTTAATTCTTTTTGTGGACTGAGCCAGGTAATATGGCTTATTTGTTTCATGAAATATCTGACCCTATTAAAGGAATAGTCGGAATCTTGGAAAATCTGCTGTCTTCAGCAGGAAGACACTGAGTTATTTCCTGAAGAATAAATCTATAAAAGACACTTTACAGAAGTCTGACAGTTCTATGAGAAGTAGAATAGACAGCTGGGGAATGATCATAGAAAGTGATACAAATTTAAACCCCTTCAGCAGGCAAATTATAATCAAAATTATGTGACCAACTAAGCTCACCTAGGGAATTAGTTTTTCTAGAAGTCTGAGCACTTATCCATGGACATGCGAACATTAGAGTTTGTGAGACAAGGGGAGCCAGCAAAGGAGTTTTATTTATTTTTTTAAAATAATATTTGCCTAGTATGCTTTTTCAGTCTTTTACTTGAACCTACATATGTTTTTAGGTTTGAAGTGACTTCCTGTAGACAACATATAGTTAGGTCTTGTTCTTATTCACCCAGTTATTCTCAGTCTTTTAACTGTATATTTGGACCATTAACATTTAAAGTAATTATTGATATGTTAGGGCTTATGGCTGGCATTTTATTATTAGTTTTGGGTTTGTTTCCTCTGTTTCTCATTCTTGTTTCCATTTTCTTGCCTTTCTTGTAGGTTTCTTAAGTATTTTTTAAGAATTTTATTTTGATTTATCTGTATTGCCTTTTTAGTATATCTCTTTGTATAGTTGTTTAATCCAGTGGTTGCACTGTGCAATACAATTTTAAAAAAAAAAACAAAAAATCCATTGCTGTTGAGTCAATTTCTTGTCATAGCGACCCTATAAGACAGAGTGGAATTACCCTATAGGGTTTCCAAAGAGTGGCTGGTGGATTTGAACTGCTAACCTTTTGGTTAGCAGCTATAGCTCTTAACCACTCACATATGTAATATACTGTATACCTGTATTTCCATTTTTCTCCTTGAAGTAAAGTGTGTAAACTTTACTTCCATTTTACCCAGTTACTCCATTTATCCTCAACACATTTTAAATAGATATGTCTTAAGTACTTCCTCTGCATACACGGAGCACATCAGATGATATAATTTTGTTTCAACAGTCAAACAAAATTTAACCAACTCATGATAGTCTATTACATTTACCCCTATTGTTTTTAATCTACTCCATTGTTCTTTCTTCCTTCCTGAAGTCTCGTTTCTCCTTCTGTTATGTTTTATTTTCTATCGAAGAAATTAGTCATTCTTTAAGCATGGGCCTGCTGGAGACGATTATCACAGTTCTCCTTTGTCTGTGAATGTCTTTATTTCCGCATTATTCTTAAGGATGGTTTTACTGCATGTAGAATTTGCAGTAGACAACAATTCCTTTCTTTCAGAGTTGGAAAAATGTTATATCTCTTCCTTCTGACCTCCACTGATTTCAGATGAAATAACCCACTGTCATTTGAATCCTTGTTCCCCTATAGGTAATGCATAATGTCTCTCTAGCTGCTTTCAAGATTTTTTTCTGTCACTTTATTTTTCAGCCATTTGATTACGATGTGTCTTGACACAAATTTCTCTGGGTTTATCTTGTTTGAAGTTTATTCAGCTTTTTGAATATGCAGGTTTAGGCTTTATGCCCAATTTGGGAAGTTTTTCAGGCATTATATTTTGAATTTTTTTTTTATTCCACTCCATACTCTTTCTTCTCTCTTTATGAGACTCCAAACTTCTTTCTGTTTTCCCACAGAAACCTGAAACTCTGTTTATTTTTGTTTGTTTGTTCTCACTCTGTTTTTAGATTAGTTAATATTTATTATTTCATCATCAAGCTTGAGATGCACTCTTCTGTTTTCTCCAACCTATTATTGAGCTCATTCAGTGAATTTTTTAGAATGTTAGTGTATTTCTTAGTTACATAATCCCATTGGATTTTAACAATCATTGTCAAATAATCTTAACATCTGAATCATCTCAGTGTTAGCATCTGTTGATTGTCTTTTCTCTTTTTCCCCATTCTTGATATTATGAGTGATTTTCAGCTGTAACCTGTACATTTTGGGTATTATGTTTTGAAACTCTGAATTTTATTTAAATCTGGTATTTTAACAGACCTCCATTACTGCCATTCAGGGTGCAAACCAGGCTTCCCGCTTGGCCTCGTTGACACCACGGAAAGGAGACAGGTGCCTTGTTACCTTAGCTTGTGAGTGGAAGTCTAGGCTCCTCACTCAGCCCTGTTGATCATGGGGGGAGGCAGAGATGGTCTTTATTTCTTCTGTGGTGATTTTCTAGAGTAAGTTGGATATTGGTAAAAAGATTTCTGTCTTGCTAGGCTGCTCCTTTCCAGAGCCTTTGGTTAGAGAAGCAGATTCTTCTCTGAACTGTTTTGTCTGAACTGGATATTGATTCTGCGATGCCGTCTTCCCCACTGCCCAGTTCAGGATATACAGGAGACAAAAAGAGAACCCAAGTAACTCACTGTCATATGGTTCCTTGAGTCTTAAGGTCCAACTTCTCTTCATCTTTCAGAATGTTCTAACTTTGGTTTTATATAATATGTCAAAGATTTTTAGCTATAGATTAGCAAAAGTACAAATACACATTTTTATTCTTTGAATTTTTGTAAGGAATTGATGTTTCCTTTGTAATAAAATTTTGTTTAATGACTAGAGACCCAGTAGACACAACAGTATATTATATAGCCGAAAGTAAATTTTCTTTTATCTTAGCTGTGAATTTTTCTGCATATATTCATGAAGAAAAGAATTTATACGGCAAAACTACAAAGCAGACATGTTTAGTAGTGTTTTAGTGGGTTTTAAAGTAGGATAAAAGGAAGAACTGAAAAATTTTGTAGCTCTCAATTTATATGATTAGAATTTCTTTCCTCAGAAATTTTACATATTATATACTTCATTGTATTTGCCTCATTTTATTCTACTCATTGATCTGATCTCTCAATAAATCATGTATGTATATATATTTAGATTCTGAAGGACAATGTGGGCCGCCTCCACATATTGAAAATGGAGACACAACTTCATTCCCATTACCTTCCTATGCTCAAGGATCATCAGTTGAGTACCAATGCCAGAACCTCTATGAACTTCAGGGGAACAAACATATAACATGCAGAAATGGACGGTGGTCAGAACCACCAAAATGTTTAGGTAAGTACTTCAGTATTCTCTTTGATTCTGGGAAAATCAGAGTAATGAGCATGATGTTTTGCTGTTTATAATACTTATGAATTAGTGAAGAACCATTGTGTTGAATACTTGACTACCAAACGTCAATTAAGCAAAACCTGTTGCTAGCAAGTCGATTTTTACTCCGTGCAACTCCGTGTGTTACAGAGTAGAACTGCTCCATAGTGTTTTCCGATATTAATATCTGAAGACATGAAGTTTTGGAAGTTCTTACTGAAACAATAGATATGAACATTTCTTTAATGCCAAACTCTTACATGATAATTCATGTTATGATTCTCTGAAAATAACATCTAATTATCACACAGTAAACATAATATGTCATTTTTGCATCATTTACTAGTTTCAAGTTCCCTCGGTGGCACAAAAGGTTTGCACTCATCTACTAGCCTAAAGGTTGGTGGTTTGAGCCCACCAAGCAGTGCCGTGAAAGAAAGGCCTGGCAATCTGCTTCTGTAAAGATTACAGCCAAGAAATCTTATGAGGCAATTCTATGCTGTAACAGATGAGGTTAGAATCAACTCGACAACTCATCATTGATTCAACTGCAATAGGTTAGGTTAGTTAGGTTTACCATTTCACAATATTTAAATATACATGATAATTTTTCACAGAGACTGTTTGGAAAGATTTAGAGAAAGAATTCCTGAACCATTATCTAACAGTCTACTTGAAGCCCTGAAAGTCTATGAAAATAATTTTTTGTGTACTAATAATTTTTTATATTCGTTATTTTCTATTTTCAGATGCATGTGTAATATCAGAAGAAATGATGGAAAAATATAACATACAGTTAAAATGGAAAAATGACAAAAAAACTTATGTCAAAACAAATGATACTGTTGAATTTACTTGTAAATTGGGACATAGGGAAAAGACACCAAGAGAAACTTTCCAACCAACATGTCAGGAAGGGAATCTGGAGTATCCCAGTTGTGAAACATACTTTGGTTAAAATGGGTTTATATGATCAAACTATATACATATCCTGAATTCTGTATTATTAATCTAGTTTTCTCCATTTTATTTTTCCAAGTGTTAAGTCATTTTTATTGATAAATTAGAATTTGCCTTAAATATTAAGTGAGTGATGTAATTATAATCTGAGAGACCAATATCTGACACTAAAAATTAAGCACCACATTAAAACTTGGCAAACCATAAAGCAGTGTGTCCTGTTCCTAAAACATCCGTGACATGAAATTAGAGGCACTCACTTCAGTGCTGTTTTGGTCCATCACTTTCCTAACTCTCTCAAAGTTTTCAACATAACATCTGAGGCTTTCTGCGATGCTCTGTTTCAGAGGAACTGGAAAAGATCTAGTGGTCTCCATCTTCAGAATAATATTACATGACAAATATATAAAAATCTAACTAAATCAGACCTATGCTAGTAATAAAATATAAGCAATTATTTATCAGCCCCTAATATTAGCCGGGATCCCTGGTGGCTAAATGGTTAAGAGCTGCTAACCTAAAGGTCCGCAGTTCAAATCCACCGGCTGCTCCTTGGAAACCTTATGAGGCGGTTCTAGTCTGCCTTATAGAGTCTCTATGAGTTAGATCAACTTGATGGCAATGGGTTTGGGTTTTTTTGTTTTTTTTTTAATATTAGCCTTCTTATCTATTGATGGACAAATATGCCAAAAAAGATCAACTGGATGAGCTTCTTCAAGATGTCTAGCACACTATACAATTAAAACAAATTATGAGGAAAAATTAAAATTGAGTTGGGTATATAATAATCATAACACTGACATAAAAAGTGATAAAAACCCAATATCACATATAAACACACAAATACATGCACATGATTATGTAAGCTCGGAATTAAAGTCTATAGAACAAAGATAGGCGGGAAAGTCAATAACATATTCCAATGACTATGTTTGGGTTAAGGAGTCTTGATGCCACAAATGGTTAAGGGCTCGACTGCTAACTGGAGAGTTGGTAATTCGAATCCACAAATTGGCTCCATGGGCGAAAGGCCTGTCAATCTGCTTCTGTAAATATTACAGCTAAGAATCCCTATGGGGAAGTTCTACTTTGTCACATGGGGCCACTATGAGTTGAAATAGGCTCAACAGCATCTATCAACAACATCATATTTGAGTTTAGCGATAATAGGAGTAATTATTAGTGTGTAACTTCTTTATACTTATCTGTATTCTCAATTTTTAAATTTTTAGCATATATCATATTTGATTCATAAGATTGTTATTTTAAAATAAAGATGGCTTAAAAGGGGATACATTTGATGACTCTAAAGACTCTGTAATTATCTTAAGGCCTAATAACATTTTTATGATTTTGTGTGGAAGAGTTTGGGTGAAACATTCAACAATAAGATTCTGAAATATAATTTTTATGTTCGTACATTTCAAATAGCATTAAATAATTAAAACCACTCTTGGCTAGAAACATACTTACTCTCTACAAAAACACAAAACGTTTAAAGATGAAACTCAGTCTTACTGATAGAATTTAAAAGGGATCTGTAGGAACTACAGCACTAAGGGAGTTGGGTGAGGAACTCTTCCTGTCCTTTTGTTGTGTATATCACCAAGGATTCAGAGATTTTATTTATTCAATTTGTTACAATCAATTATAATCGTTTTTCTTCTGAAGCTCAGATTATTCCAGATTTGGCTAGTGGGTGACCCCTGAAGCTCGCTCCTGACTGCAATTGACATATTCCATTAGTCTTTGGACCTTTCTCATCTTGTAGCACAACACCATGTTCTTAGCTCAGTGTGTACTTCTCCAGCCTTTTATTTGTCAGATCTTTGAAACATAAATGACATTTAAAATATACTAGTTTCTGTTGGATTTTGCAATTAAAATTTAATAATCAGTTTTAAATAACTTTTTAACGTTTTTCTCTTTACTGTTGTCTTTCCATTTTATGACATTTATAAAAATAACACCCATAGAGCAATGAAAACATTACTATTAACAGTTCAATTACTGAATGAAAGTTAAAATTTCTTTTGTCTCAGGATATTTGCCTTTAAGTTGTATGTGAGTACTCTTTTCTAAAACAGCTATAGTAATTCTGATCTCTGTATGACTCTTGTTACCATATTGATGAAGTTTTATATTTATGTGCTCTAGTTTGTTTTAAATTTTAGATTTTGCTCCTTCTTCCCTTTTTTAATCTAACCTCATTTTTTAACTATGAAAAACATCTACAATTTCAAAAATAAAAAATATTTGAAAGGGTCTATGGTGAGTAGTCTTATTTCCATCATACCTCCTTCTACCAGTTCCCTCATTTAATAATCATTCATTAGTTCCTAATAAATCCCTTCAGTGTTCATTCTTTTTTATAGAGAACCAAACCCATTGTGCCAAGTTGATTCCTACTCATAGCAACCCTATAGGACAGAGTAGAACTGCCCCCAAAGGGTTTCCAAGTATCGGCTGGTGGATTCAAACTGCCAACTTTTTGGTTAGCATCAAAGCTGTTAACCACTGCCTGACTTTTATGTCAATGTTCCCCTTGGCAGATCCTGGAAGTTCTTCCAAAATTCTCTTTAGGGAGATATTGACCCCTAAGGAGCTCTTAATCAGAAAATTAAGAGATAGAAAAACAAATGCAATTAAATATTTTTCAACCTTATTCATAATAAGCAAAATGCAAATTAAAACAGACAGATGTGCCATATATCTAGCACTTGAGAAACAATACAGAAGTTTGACAACGTCCTCAGTTGGCAAGGTCAAGGAAAAGTAGGCTCTCAGCACATGGTGGAAGGCTAAAATATCACACCCCTCTGGAGAAGAATTTGAAATATCTAATAAACAAAACATTGGCCTCTTGATGCATTAATCTCACTTCTAGCTGTGTGTTCTGATGATATGCACACACAAATAAAAAGTAACATGCACAAGTGTAATCACAATATCATTCATTATCTGTTCTAATAAAATAATGGAACAGTTGAAGTATTTTCTAAAGTGAAAACAGTAAAGTGCAGATCAGTATGTAATATAAGCTTCCTTTTAAAGTTGTGTTTTTCCCCAAATATTAATCAATCCAAGCCCATGTTTCCAACTAATGCAGATGAATTTTCCTATTCACCAGGTTTCCAGGGAAAGTGTTAGAAGAAGGCGAACACAAGGTCATTGTCCAGTGAAAACTGTAGAAAGAGTGTCTAGGTTTCCTAGGGCTGTCATAACAAAGTGCCACAAAAGGGATGGCTTTAGAGAATAGAAACTTGCTGTATAGGGTCGCTATGAGTTGGAATCAACTCGATGGCAGCGGGTTTGGTTTTTTGGTTGGTCTCACAGTTCTGGAGACTAAAAGTTCAGATTCAGGGCCTTGGCAGTATTATGCTCTCTCTGTAAACTCTAGTGGAAAAAATCCTTTCTTGTCTTTTGCAGCTTCTGGTAGCCCCAATCATGAATTGGTGTTCCTTGGCTTTTAAATGCATCTTCACTTGATGTCTGTCTTCTCCCCATGTGACTCTGTCTCTGTGTCTTTTTTTCCACTTTGAAAAGACACCACTCAAAAGACATTAGGTCTCATCCTACTCCCGTATGATCTATACTTAACAGATAACACCTTCAAAAAGAAAAACCCTATTCCACACAAGGTCACATCCACAGGTATAAAACAAAACCCAAATCCATTGCAGTAGGGTGGTTTCTGACTCATAGTGACCCTATAGAATAGAGTAGAAATGCCCCATTAGGTCTTCAAAGCTGTAAATCTTCAGGGAAGCAAACTGCCACATCTTTGTCCCACAGAGTAGCTGGTTGGTTCGAACAACCGACCTTCTGGATAGCAGCAAGTGCTTGATCTCTTCACCATCAGGGTTCTCCCTTCTGCAAGAATTCTCTCATCTTTTCTAATTTTAGGAATTCAAAAGATCTTTTTGGAAGACACAGTTCATTCTATAACAGTTCATCCTCAGCACCCCCCATTTAAGTCCTTCCCGTGTGCAAAATACATTCACCTTGCCCCAGTATTCACAAAAGTCTTAACCTTTCTAGCATCCACACTAAATTAAAAAAAAAAACAAAAACTCATCTTTTATATCATTAAATCATGTATAAGTGAGAATCTGGTTGTGCTCCTTCTCACAGCAAAGATCTGAAAAACTAAGTCAAACAGAGACACACACATCAGTCCTGAAACCCTAAGCATCAAATGAAGACATAAAGAGCTCAGCCAAGCACTGAATGGAATAAGAAACTGACCGAGAACAGAGAGTGAGGAGAGATACATGCAGAGGTCCACTATCAGCTACCACAGCACAGATCTGCCATCTTGGACTCCTACTGGAGATCAACAAACGGGGTACAAGAAAGCAGCTTTCCAGAGTTTCCAGCAGGAGACAGAACAACCAATAACCAGGGATATACGCTTTCCCACTCCCCCCCTCCACTCTTCACCCCTACTCGGGCTCCTCTGCTTCCTGCAGCCACAGTCTCTTGGCCAGGAAGCACCAGTTTCACCATGGTGCCGCTTGGATTCTACTTGCCTGCACTGGCTGGCTCCCTGAGTGCCATTTGTTGGCTGTTGGTGTTGCTTTTTTCTGCTTCTTTAGATTTCTTCTTTACCTCTAACCACCTCCCCCTCCTTTCTCTCAAATACCTGGCTCCATGTGCCATCTTTGCTTCTTCCTGAAAGGCTGTGAAACATCACTCAACTGTGAAATGCTTCCCGGCCCATGCTGCCATGCAGGTGGGACCCCCGAGGCTTTTTGTTCGTTTGTTCTGATTCATTCTGTTTTCATTTGTTTGTTTTCTTTTTCTTTTCTCAGCTTGGAAGCCCCTTCTAGCTGGGCAGTACTGCACGGCTTAGGAGCTACTACTTTACTCTGTGCAGACGCACAGTGACATCCCTGGGGACATTTATCTTTTCTTGTTTTTTTTTTTTTCATTTTTCATTTTGTTTTTTTATTTTGGTTTATTTTGTTTCTTTGTTTTGTTTTCTTCTCTCTTTTT